AATCCGAAGTCGGGTCCGAGATCGAGTCCGAGATCGAGCCTGAGACCGAGTCTGAGTACTAATACGGGTCAAAGCATGCGTCTCCCGGGGGGGGGGGGGGGGGGGGCCCCTTCCAAGGGTTTCCAAAATTTAATAAGGGAATTGGGCCCCCCGAAACCATTTCAAAAAAAATTTTTTTGGGGGGTTTCCAAAAGAATTTAGGTTTAAAATTGGGCCAAAAGGCCTTTGGGGGGAAAAAAAAAGGAACCCGGTCCTGCCCGAAGGGGTACCCCAAGAAATGGTCCAAAAAAACTCCCCCTTTCCAAAAGGAAAATTAATAAAATACTTCCCGCCCAATGTGGAGTGGTGCCCCACTTGAGTACCTTACGGCTCATTGGTCCTCGCCCTTCCTAGGGGCTTGGGCCTTCCCTTTGGGATGGAAGTGGGGGGGTAGAAGTACCTATATCGGGCTGTTAGGCCACAGTGTTTCGCCCCAGCGTCCCGAAGCATGTGTTGCACCCAAGACTTGGGATTTAGAGGGTTCCATGATCAAGTCTTGTGGTACCAAGGGATGTTAGGAACCTGGAGGCTTGGTGTGCTTGGCTGCTTGTGCTTGCGGGGAATGTAGCTGAACTTTAAGTCCAATTTAACCCAAGGAGGGGGATTGGGAGAAATTTGGGAATCTGTGGATGGAGGGCTAATGCTCCGTTGCTCGTGCAGTGAGTAGTTGAAACCAAATAGGACCAAGTAGGAGTTGGTACCATAGGCGGGAACCTTGACGAGGGAACTTAGCAAAAGCCAAGGCAGTGTTGGACGGATAGATGAGGTAAGTTGGCAAATTGGAAAGAAAAAATTTGTGGCTTACAGATATGCCAAAACTGAAGGAGTCGTCAATAGCTCTTTGAGATCAACGAACGCCCGCTCACAATCCGGAGACCAAATGAAAGATGACATTGATGACTTCAGCAATACTCACAACGGTGTAATGCGATAAGAAAGATGATCCACAAAACAACCGCGATACTGCACCTTGCTAAAGAAGTGTTGCACATCATTCACACATTTTGGAGTAGGGAACTTTAGAATAGCCACAAGTTTGTCAGGATCAACGAGAAATATGGTACCCAAGATAAATTGTGTCCTTGGACCCAAATACGCACTTCGACCATTTCAGCTTTAAACCAACATCTCGTAGCCAATCCAACACTTTACAAACATCACAAATGTGCTCCTCCCACATCCCCTCTGAGTGGATCAAAACATCATTAATGAAGTCAGTAGTCACCTTCGGCATATCACAAAAAACCTCGTCCATCATCCGCTGGAAAGTTTCTGGAGCATTATTCAAACCAAAGGGTATCACCAAAAACTCGTACAAACCAAATGGTGTACGAAAAGTAGTCTTAGGAATATCTTCTTCGACCATCAGTACTTGTCAGTACCCAAAAGCAAAATCTAACTTGGTGAACCAACAACTTCACCCCAGACGATCCAAGAAATCAGCAATGTGAGGAAGAGGGTACATATTTGAGATTGTCACTTTCTTTAACAGACAATAGTTGATGCAGAAACGAGGCTTTGTCACAAGATGAGGTTCACATGCCCAAGGACTTCGTGACTTCTGAATAACACCCTTCTCCAACATTTCCTTGACGTTTGCACGTAAAATCTTAATCTCTTTAGGTGACTGACGACGAACAGGAACTTGGATTGGACGAGCATCCCCGGTTGGAATCGGATGATGTATGGCAATCTTGGCCCCAGACAATAGGTCAAATTTAAAGAGATCAAAATACTCCTTCATGAGTTGGTCAACCGCTGCAACACAAAGATCGTCGGAGGGATCGAAAAAGGGAAGAGCAGAACAAGACGAAAACATAGAAGGAGATAGTGGGGGGACAAAAGTAAGGGAAGCAGAGGTAAAAGTAGAGGGACGAAGAGGTACAGAAGTGAGAGGAATGGATGAAACATAAGGAAGTATGAGACAAAGGGGAGAAACTTCAAAGTTATACTTGGCATGATTGTGCTACAACCAATTCATACCAAGAATGAAGTCAAAAACTTGACTCGGCACCACCTGCAATGACTGCAACTCAAGCTCGAGATTGCCCACACGCATAACCAGGTCTGCCTCATCCTATGCAAATACATGTATACACCCATTGCCATAAAGAATGAAAACTGGTTCTGCTGCACGACACAAGTGTAGACGGCAACGTTGGGAACAAGTCAAGCAATAGAAGATAAACTTCAACCTATATCAACCAACACGGAGAAAATAATAGGAGGCATGTTATCATAAAAACGAGCTCGGAAAGTAAA